TTTTCCCTGTGCCATTCCACATTATTACAAATAACTTCATTTCTGGATATTTATGGTTTGATTTCTTTGTATGTATGGATCACTTTGGTTGTTACTGACATCTGGTGAAAATTTCATTTCATTAGCACCTCTAGTAATATATTTACTGAGAAAAATGGTGACTGTTCAATACTTATTTTACCCGCTGTAAATAAAAAGAAGAGCATCTCCCAGTTTGGTCCGTGGCAACTACAGTCACCCTGTTGTTCGATTCTCTTGTTCGTTTGAAAGAGCCYTTCAAAGATTTGAACATCCCTACTGAAAAGGCAACAGCCGAAAGAAGACATCGATAAGTCTAAAAATGAAATGTAGTGTTCAGTAATAAATGCTTAACACTGAGCACTGAACACTTAACCTTTTTACCTATCATCAGACAGACAGGTGAATGTATCAGCATGAATCAAAACCTTTTCCAGGATGACTTAAGGCCCGCCAAAGTGCATTTTAACCATTCAAGAAAGCTCCTGGAGGACAGGTAAATATATTGTGTACAATTTAGAAAACACTTCAGAAGCTGGAAGTAGGAGTGTAACATATGGTGGGTAAATAATACACAATAGAGGAAAAAAGCAGTTGGTTCAATTTGTAAATCTGAAATAAAGCATGTGATGAGGAAGGTGAGGTGTGAGAGAAAGTGTCTCACTGTGAAAACACCACATAGTTTCTCTGGGTGAAACCAGGTGTTGTGTATCCACTCTGGGCCAGACAGCTCTGGCAGGTTTCCTTTAGCTGGCACAGCCCTGTTATTACACCTCCCTTCCTGCGCCCCCCGGGGCCACGTGGGCTAGAGATGCCTCGGAATCTGGGATCTCTGATACTTTAGAGGCTGTGATTAGTTACAGACGTGAAGGTGTGCTTGGTTTTACACGTTGTCCTAAACTACAGACATCAATTAAAGACTTAGCATTCCCTGAAAGAATACACATCGCCTGGCCGCCAGAGCTTTGTAGCCATTTTGGCCAAACTTTAATAAAAACATTATGTGCCATCACAGCACATCATCCTAAAAGTTGGTTTTGTGGGTGACTTGCAACTACTACCATGTCCAATTTTAGTTCAGGCTCTGTAAAATTCCCTGAGGTGTAGCTGTTCTTGTGTTGGACAATGTTGATGAGCTGTGGTGAGTAACTTAAAGTGGACTGGCTCAAAAAGTTAATCAGGTATAGACATGTCTTTTGACTACTTTCTGTACATTTCATTACAGTTTATCCCATGGTTCATGAGATATTTTCTAAATAAACATACAAATGAACAAAAATGTGCAAAATCATTGTTTTTCTTTCGGCTTCRACAGTGGGAGGTAAAGGTGTGTCTGCAGTGGTCATTTAAATTTCCAGCTTTTTGTCATGGCTTATCTTTGTTAATGATATATGAGCAACTTTTGCACCTTATAATAAAACGTTTTACATAAGCCACAAAATCAAAAAGTCTGTCTCTGGTCTGACCCAAAATTGAACTTCCTCTCTCTCAGACCTCTCTTGCCATCCTAATCCATCTCTCTTCTTACCCTGTTGTATTGTCTAAAGTAGGAGCTAATCGCAGGCTGTCAGTAGCTCCACTTGTTTTGTGAATGCATGTGTCTGACTGAATTACTGAGTTCAGCCTCCTAATAAAGGGATCCCCCCCAACCTCTAACTCAGCTCATGTTCCTGTTGGTTTTTTTTATTTTATTTTTTACTTTTTTTTGTCTTTATGCTGCCATCATGTGGTTGATGTTGAACATTGCAAGCTTGTTGATTTTTTTATTGTTTATTATGGTTATTATTGATTTAAGGCTCTTTAGGGAAGATTTTCTCTCAGATAAGTTTGAATATTTGAGTTAATCAGAAATGTTCTGTTGTAATTTTCAAACTGATTTTATAATAGTAATAACAATAGTTGTAAAATCACACAAGAAAACAAACATTCATCAACATTATTTTTATATACGAAGAATAAATTGATATTTTCACAACATCTGTGCAGAAAAGACTATGAACGCCCCTGGGCGCTCTGGCATAAATATTTGTCTTCTTAACACATGTAAATATATAATCACAGATATTATTTTAAGAGTTGTAACTTCATGTGGAATACACGCACAATATTTTTTACTTTATTCATTTATTTAAAACTAACAAAATAAATTTATATACAATAAATTCACAAATCACAAGTAAAATGGAAGGCGACAGAAAGAAGAAAAAAATCTTATAGTATCTGTGCCTTTTTCCTCCCAAAATTAATATTTTTAAACAATAATAATCTACTATATTAGCACAAACATCAACACATTCTTATGTAAAAATGTTGATTCTCCTTCCAAACAACTTTCAAAGCAAGATAGTTGTGTCTGGTTCACAGCTTAATAATATCATCTTTTTTTTCTCTCAGGGTTCTCCAGGACCTCTTGGTACAATTGGTGTTAGTGGACCAGAAGGTCCACATGGGATGCCCGGGCCTCAAGGGCCTAAAGGAGAGAAGGGCCACCTTGGATATAAAGGACCAGCTGGGTCCAAAGGAGACATAGTGGGTGACTAATACTGTAATAATGGTTTATGTGTATTTTTTTATCAATGAACAAGTGAATGTTTGTATTGGGGATGAAATATTGAACAATCAGCAATGTGACATTACTGACAGACGACACACAGATAGTTCAATTCCCAGTTGTAACAACAACCGTCAGGTAAACAGTCAGTATTTAAAGTGTTGGAAGTTAAAGTCATGACACACCTGAGACATTCTTTTCTAAAGGCTAAAAAGTTTTGTTTGAACAGCTGGTGCAAAACATCTCTAAAAGTTGCTCATGTCAGGTGGCCTTGGTATGCAGTGGATTACACTCACTGAAACAGCACTCCCACAAAAGACTAGTAAACTTGGAGGGCTGGCAGGTGTGTGTGTGTGTGTTGTTATTCCCTATTATGTGGAGACAGTTTTTGGCACACACACCTACTTGTTTGGACCAACTGGTACTTCCTAAGTTCCTAAGTCTAGCACGGGGGGAAATGCCACTGATAGGTCAGGGGTTTGGTTTTGGACTAAGGTGTGAATTGAGTTTAGGTTAGGGTTAGGGTTAGGGTTAGGGTTAGGTTCAAGCTGCAGAAATGAATGGAAGTCAATGCAACGTCCCCATAAAGATAGTACTAGAACCCGCTCGTGTGTCTGTGGGACATGAAACTCAGCCCAGATTGCACAATTCATGCCATCCACTGGCCTACCCAACAATGTGGCAAGACAAAGTTCGGGAACTGATGGCAGCAGGATGAGAAAAAATGGCCTAATGGTATTTTCAGTAGATTTGGCCAACAATTTATTAGGGAAATCATTGGTTTTTGGCATCTATTGTGCTACTTGGGGTTCCTTTGTGCCATTTATTAGGAGTGATGTACTGACAAATTGTGAATGGCTTRCACGYGAGAGTCTCCAAAATGTCTTGAAAGCCAAATGTTGTGGGTGTTTGGAACCCCACAACAAAAAGGGTTCTTGAGCCCTAGAACTGGAATTTTTTGGTGGTTCAGATACAAGCTAAATTTAGTTTGTGCAAATGTGTTGTTCTGTGTGACTTCAAGTGAAAATTTGTGTTGTTTTTCATGATTTTGTGGCTCCAACTGGTCACCAACAGCTGCAGCCCAGTGAGATTCTTAGAGTTAGTTGTTGGGCCACATTAAACCCACACTGGTCTGAGCAACATGTTGAGGTTGTTGARTTATTCATTTCTTAACTCAACCCATCCAAGCATCTGTAGACCTACTAAAAGTACACTTTGACCCCTACAAGCTCCAAGTACCAATTAGGTTGTTGTTTATTTTGAAATTTGAAGAATTTAATGTTGTGCTATAGGTATGGGTAATTGTCAAATATGTAAATTTAACAAATTGAACCTTTGTCCAATCAGTTGAACAGTTTCTGCCACTTTAGTACTGACATGGTTTTAACCACATGGTAGTGCTTTTTCAACAAATTATCAGTTAATGCAGTGATTTTTTTAAGTTAGTTTTATTTTATTTTATTTTTTTTTTACTTTTGCAGGGCCCAATGGGAGTGCCAGGATTCAAAGGAAGTGATGGAGTTCCTGTAAGTTAACCAGAAAAACACAACAAATTKATTTCTCTGATGACACTTTCTTAATGTTGTTAGTACAATATTTCAGGATTTTATTCCAGTTTCCCTTTCAGCCTTTTGATCTGGTCATTATTTTCCTCMTCAACTCTCTTAAAACTAAAATAAAATAATGGAAATTTCAAATGTTATGAAATAATGCAATGAGTAAATAAAAAAATCAAGTAAAAACATCCATCCATCCATCCATCCATCCATCCATCCATCCATCCATCCATCCATNCATCCATCCATCCATCCATCCATCCATCCATCCATCCATCCATCCATCCATTATCTATAACCACTTATTCCTTTCAGGGTCATAAGGGTCACTGGTGCCCATATCCAGCAGTCACATGACGTGTTTCCATCCAATTTTTACTCACATTTTGAGCGAATTTTTAAAATTTCACAAAAAGGAAAAAATGAAATGCATATCAGACGGGTTTCCATCAACTGGCTTGAAGCGAATCAATTACGTCAGACGCATGTGTGTAGTAAACAGGAAGTAAAAGTCGCATCTCAGGTAAACGGAGAGAAGTTATCAGGAACATGTTGCTTTTTAAAAAATCTTTATTTATAACAGGAACGTGTTGCTACCGTTGGGAAAGTTGTAATTATTCTGTCATATCAACTAGTATTGGCGATTTTACATGCAGTCTGGAGACATAGAGAAAGAAATGCAATTCTCTTTACGTTATGGGAATAACTGAGAATACACCGACAGCGGGAGGAGGGTCCTGCTGCCAGTCGCTCTGGTACCGGTCCGGTACCGGACAGACAGCGAGAACAGTTGATCAACAAGTGAGGTAAATGTTCGCTACGTCAGAACTGATTCGACAAATGTGTTTCCATCTCTCCTTTTACGCATCAACTCATTTTTGAAAAAAAAAAAAAAACACAAAAACCAACTCAAGTGATTTCATCAAATTTTATGCGAATTAGAGGAAGTTTTTTCGAATCATGCCATTTCCATTCACCTTTTCTGATGCGATACTTCAAAATGTCCATTAAAAAACGATGGAAACACGGCAACAGTGCGAGGGGCGGGGTTCACCCTGGACAGGTCGCAAGTCCACCACAGGACCACACATAGAGACAAACGAGACAAACAATCATTCACTCTCTCACTCACACCTAGGGACAATTTAGAGTTATCAATTAACCTAACAGTCATGTTTTTGGTCTGTGAGAGGAAGCTGGAGCACCCAGAGAGAACCCACACATGCATGGAGAGAACATGCAAACTCTAGTAAAAACAATAAAGTCCTATTAGTATTGTGACTTTCATGTTCCTACCTAAAGCATTACTTAAAATGTGTAAAACATTAAGCTTTTTAATCAAATCAATCCAATGTTTAGCAAATATTTTTGAAAAGTAATACAAAACATTATTTATAAGTCACTTTTAACACAACACCATGCTGTAGACCAATAAAAGAAAGTAAAAAATACCAAAATTTGAGACGTAGAATAAAAAAAACAAGGATAAAAACTACAAAATTGAATATTAAAACATTACAAAAACCATTAAACATAAAGCCAATAAACCATAAAAACAGCTAAAGCCTTTGGAAACATTWCTGCACCTAAACAACAATGAAGAAGTTTATGTGTGGATTAAAAAATATATGTATTACTATCATCAGGGCTAGTTCTTGTACACACTAACCCCACTCCTCTCATAGGGTCACCCTGGTCAGCAAGGTAGCCGAGGACCACCAGGAAAGGACGGCTGTAATGGGACCATAGGGGATCCTGGTCTGCCTGGCTATGGAACAGGACATCCAGGATTCCCTGGTTTTCAAGTGAGCTTTTATTTCTGATAATGACATTTTAGATTTATAAATTACGTTTTAAATGAAAGACAGAAACTGATAGTGTGTTTCTCTCCATCAGGGGCCAACTGGACCAAAGGGTCAAAAAGGGGAGCCTGTATATATATCAAATGGGCAGGTAAGATGACAGTCGTTTAAACTCAGATCTGATTTGACCAACTGTTTGTTACATTTGACCACAAGTTCAACTCATTCTCACTTTTTAGCTAATCTAATTCATCAGTTGCATTTGTGGTAACAAATTTAAAAATTGTGTTTGTGAGTTTCCTTAGTTTTTTTATTGTTAACAAAGTCTTAAGTTTCTTTGAGTCCTGTGATACACCTAAACGTCTTTATTGTAAAGCTTCATTCACAATATGGATATTTATAAAAACTGCTATTTTTGTTTTGTTTGCACCTTCTTTCTTGGAGGTTTTGTTAAATAAAACAAACAATTTCAGGTTTTTAAAAACAATTTCCACATGTGTTTTTTATATGGGACATTGTCCTCCCTTAACATAGACATGTCAAACTCTTTATCCCCTAGTTTAAATTGATATCCAGCTACAAGACAGTTCACAGTAAGTTGTCCATGGTGTAACTCCACAAATGTTCAGGACAGAAAATATCACTATACTACTGCACCATATTGGATCGTTTGATTAAGACCACTTCCAACCACAGAAATCTTGAGTGGTTGTGAAATCTACTACTCAGATCATAAAATGGTTTGATAGGCTGGGTCATCATCAACAGGTAAACTTTCACATTGTTGCTGATAGCTACAGATTTATATGTTCTTTAACTGAACTGTTTGTCAATTTTCACCATTAACAATGAAACTGACCATACACCACAATAACATGCAACAAACACACAGTTTACTGACAGGTGTATTATGTACTGTTGGGGGTACTCTTGTTACCATTTTTCCTATGTTAGTTTCATCCTGTCACCATGACGCTTTGTTCATGGGCTGAACTGATTAAAGGATGAAAATTAAAGTTAAAAAATATATACTATGGAAACCAAACCAGTGCTCCATTGGTTTTCTGACATATGGTTTACCTGGAAAATGTGATTTTTGAGTGGGTGATTTTGGACCAGAGAGGATCCTGAGGACCAGGGGCCTCATGTATCAACAGTGCGTACACACAAAAACCTTGCGTARGCCATTTTCCACACAAAACTCTGGATGTATCAAAACTCAACTGAACGTGGAAATGTGCGCTYCCCCACGCCAACTCCAGGGCTGGTGTCACACGTTTCTGTGGTTCTGGTTCCATTGGTGACACTTAGAGGTGATTCTGAGAAACTGTTCATGATGTGAAAAT